AGAAAAATAATACTGTGTTGGGCCAAAAACTAAGCCTACTTTTTCTCGTCAGCTTCATTAAGGAGGTATAATGTTGATTAAAGGATGTTTTCTCTGTTAATGAATAATATTAACTATCCAAGAAGCGTCAATTCCAAGGGGAAAAGGTCTGGAGTTTTGCGCTGTGGATGGTGCCCTCATGTGGCTTCAAAGTTTAGCTACATTTCAGAATTTAAAAACACATTCCTAAGTTACCAGCTATAAGACATGGCGGATTATGACAAAGAAGACACATGGGAAGGGCCATGGCACAAGAAAACGTGACAGTCTAGAACAGTCTGTACTGTTACACCATCCTTTTATTGAGTAGCGCGGGATGCCAGTATGGCGGACAGAGCGTCCCCTCAACTGATTAGAAATTTTCTGACGTTCAGTTCACGCCGGATGTTGTTCATGGTGGTTTGGGCTTAAAAATGTTAACAAGTCACAGAAGACATTTTTGTTTTGTTTTATTTTTATCAAAACAAAATAATTTAACCATATAAAGAAGGAAATAATTTTCAACAAACAACCAAGAAGCGAATCGCTTCCCTGATTATGGACGGTCAACACAGTTGTCCTGAACAGTTGACTGCACACACAAAATACTGAGTCATCCTCTAGGGCTCCAAGTGGCAGTAGCTGACGATTTTCTCTGGCTCCTATTCTTCCTGTGGGGAAGTAATGTGCTCAAATGTCTCTATACTTCTTCAGAGCAAATTATGTCTATTACTACGTGAATACAGAGCCTAGGGGAGAAGATTCAGACAGGGTGGAAATCTAGCACGCGGGATTTTCTACGTCCTGACACCTGTATTTAATGAGTCCTGGAACATAAAGAGAGGAAATTGTGCTTGAGTATAGAGAAATACAGCGTTTCAAAAGCCAAAGTGTCCTCCTCACACAAACTATGGGAATAACAACTGAAGTGGGGAAAAATACACAAGCCCTGCTTGCTCCAGTGGTAGAAATACGATCGCCCGTGGAGCCAGGCAGGCCATTTTCTCCTCACCATATTAAATTAAGTCTGGGGAGTTGAGCAGCAGCACATTCCAATAATGATGACAGTTTCCATAACTATAAAAACCTGCTGCACCAGGCAAATTTTGTGCAAAATGCAAATTTCTATGCTGGGGAAAAAAAAATGAATAATGTGATCATTCTTAGTAATGAATGTAAATGCGGGGAAATACTTCTTGGCATTAGACTCAAATCGTCTGTCTTTCATGCCAAAGACTGTGGCCACAATGCACTTTTGCCAGGCTACTCTCCCAACCTCAGCTTAGAAGAGAGACTTTTCAGGAGAGACAGTGCAACTGGCCCTGGTCACCCCTCATGCTATTGGCATTGTCTCGCTTAGAATTCAGAGATACCTTCCTCCATCTGGTTTATCTCTCGGCAAAAAAACTATAGGTTCTCCTGGTTACTATGAGGCGTGAAGCAAAGGCGTGTTAGCTTTGTCTAGATTCGGGGGTGTCCAACCTTCTTTTTCCCCCTCTGCCAAACACTGGCAGAAGAGTTGTCTGGGGCCTCATGTTAAATACACAAACACTAACGTAAGCTGATGAACAACAACAACAAAAAAAGTCCATGCATATTTTTTGTGATATCCGACACCACAGATAAGCAAAGTAAGTCCTCATGAAACCAGGATGTGGCCCCACAGTGTGCAAGTTGGACATCCCTGGAGAATCTCAGAAGTTAACACCTATAGGAGGAATGAGCTGATCTTCATCACCGAGCCCCACGATGAGGATGAGTCAGGCTGTCCCCTACACACCTCGGACTTTAAGGGTCATTGAACAGTGTAAGTGATCAGGAAGGAGGTAAAACCCCTCCCCAGTACATGTTTGCCAGGGAGATCTGGCTGGGTGCAGGTGCAGTGGGAGAGAGGGACCTGGAGGTAAATTTAGAGCATCATGAGCTGTGGTCCTTTGCCTCAGTCCATGCCAGCATCCCCGGAGCGCTCTTCCATGGAGGAAGCTGAGGTATCAGTTGGTTAAGATGCTTACCCAAAGATAGGATAACATTAACAGCACTGGGGAAAGAAGGGAGTCTCTGATCTTTAAACTCTGGTTTACCTTGTCCTAAAATAAATTTGTTTCCCCTAACCATCATGCATTATACACCTGTAGAGTGAAAAACTGCAGGACCAATTATCAGTCGATAATACCAACGTTTTATTTTCAGTAGCCCAAACTGAGTTCTAGTTGCTATGTTACCCATAAAATGTATCCCTACAACTGCACTTCGCTTTAAGAAAACCCATAGAAAAATTAAGATTTACAAGATCAGATATTATTCCTTGCTTTATAAAAAGGATTCTTCATTTAAAAAAAAAAAAAGCTTTACCTTAGATTGCATTGCAAATAGCCAACTCTAATAGTCATGCAAATTACATTTTCAATTTAAGAAGAAAGAATCCATCCAAGTGTAACTTTTCACAAATTCATGTTGCTGTAAAGGGATCCTTGTAAACATTGGCTGCTACTAGCTAAATTACCATCTGAGGCCGGAGAGTTTGGCCACCTGCTCACCTCTGTAAGAGACAGGAGGGGCTAAGGGGATGGAGTCAACACTCCATCGTACTTGCCCTCAGCTGGGCCATGGGGACCAGCAATGGCAGCTCACAGAGTGACAGGGCTTCCATCACCATCCTGAGGTTGGTCCTATTTGGAGCTCTGACTTACAGGTCAAGCTCCAGTGGTCCAGCTGACACTTCGGCAGAAAGGAAGGATCTAGAAGATAGTTTGTTTTGTTTTTCCTTTTGGCTGGCACCCCCCGTGACAAAGCAGCCAGTTAAGCCTACAGATGTTATTTCCCACTCACATGGTAATGATCTGTTTATTCTTTCAACTTTTGAATTATGAGCCAATATTTATGAACTGGATGATTGCACCCCCAAATCTGGAACTCTTGGAAAAAAAATAGATGGCATTTCCCTGAGCTCCTTCCTTCACACCAATAATTGGCTGAAGGTGCTTGAGTTTCAGTTCCCTGTCGTCCCCACCCAAACTTCCCGTGTGCGAGACCCCTGAGGCACTGGCCCTCCCCTATCTCCAACCCCCCCAAGTCCACATCGGTAAAGGGAAGGGGGACTTCGCTACCATTCACTCTCACAAAGAACTGGAGCCCATGTTGCTCAAATCTCTCATTGTCGTTTGGGGAAACTGAGGTGCAGAGAGGACCTCAGCTGAGATTTCCCAGCTGAAGATGGAGTCAGGACTTCACTGTCTCCTGCCCAGCCTTAGACCGACCTCCCTGCACTGCCTCCCTTGCTAGAGTGACAGGGGTTGCTCAGAAGGCCAAATAATCCCCCATCAACTTTCTTTGCCTCCTTTCCTATGTGTTTCTTGGCTAGGCCTAAAATCCCTTGGATACTGAGGCCAGCAAGTGACACAACGACAGACTCACGCTCAGTAACCAGGTCACTGGTCTCACACTGAAGTTTTCTACAAAAAACACCCAAATTGGGAAATTCACATGAAGATACTTGAAATTTGACCCTATTTCCTCATGGGCAAGGACTCACTGAAGTGTGTTCTTGTGTGTGAGAGGCTTTGTCTCACTGCCTTGCCTTTAAAGTAGAGGATGTCATACGAACATCATTTCATCAAAGTCAAGCCAAAAGAGCTTGCCTAGAAGTTTCAGATTGTACAAAATCATACCAAAAGCAAGTATAAAATTTTATTGAAATGCAGCAGTGTAAACCTCTGTAGGTTTTTCCTCTCCCATTTAAGGAGCAGGAGAGGAAGGCAGTAAGTCTGAGGCTTTGCTCACTAGCTCGGCTGACGTACGTCTGCTATCTTCTTCTGCACAGGGGCGCGCTGGCTTGGAATACCGGAGGATTTGATCTGTGCTGTTCTGACTTGCACAATACAGAGGCTGATTTAATTTGACAGCAAAGTAACACCAAGCCCCCAAAATAAAATTACTGAGATGTAAAACAGCGTCAAAACTCCAATTAGTTTTGTATCCTTGAAGCTTCTGGAGGAAATCTAAAAAGCTCCCGTCAGGATGAGCAGGCATCAGTTTAAGCTGCACCGATTACTAAAATGTAACCCTCTAATTGAAATTGCTCAGAGCACAATATGACAAAGAGAATCAGAGGAAAATAAGTGAATTTTCCCCCTCAAAAAAAATGACTCATTCCTGAGACACTGTTCTATTAACTTTTCACACAACGTTCTTTTGCAAGAGCTAGAAAAACCAGTGGGGTCTCAGAGGTCTCAACAGAAAAGGCACCAGGCACAAGAGCACTGGGGGCTTCTGTCACTTGACCACAAATGAACACTGACCATTTGTGCAACATTGAAAAATAATCAGCATTTCACCAGACCATAGGCATAGGAGAAAGTATATTTACAATCTCCACTAGGGAGGAGATTTGCTCCAACCAAACTTCAGTTTTTGAATGCATCTGAATTTTGTTTCCAGAATGAACAGAAATGTCTCGATGCCCAATTCACATCCCCATCCCTTTCTCAGGCCACTCCAATTTTCCCAAGCACGCTCGCCACCTCAGCTCACTAATGAGGGGAATCAGTTGCCTCGCTTCTGTGACATCCTCTGGCCATAAACATGTCCATGGTGGCATCCTCTAGCTGTAAACATGTCCATGGTGGCTCTCTTGTTTCCTGCCATTTTACTGGAGGGAGGCAGTGGGAGGCTGGCACAGAGGAGAAGACTGGGCATCAGGGCCTCGTCACTGCCTACACAAAACATTCTTAGACCTGGCTGCATGGCCACCTCTGCCATGTGAACAAGTGAACACAAGCAGCATGTGCCCAGGGGACCTGGGGAAGAGTGTGGCTGAGCAGGGCTCTGGAGCTGGTTGGAGTTGGCTTGGAAGAACCTCAGAATGGCTTGCATAATCTGCAGGTGTTCCATAAACAGAGCTTACATCTTCTGCCATCCTGATGACATTCACCTGTGAAGCATCAACGGTCGTGGGCCACAGACACCACCTTTCTCAGGAAGTTTCATATTTCTATAACCAGTCGGTCCTCATCATCGCTGCTGGCATCACTGAACTCCACACAAGTTTGCTTTCTCATGCCTTCCAAACTCTTCTTCTTAACAGATTTAGAAGGGGCTTCGGGGCTTTCTGTGGGCTGCCTTGGCTGAGGAGGATCTACAGAACCCTTCGGAATGATTGGTCCAGACAGTTGACACTTCTCACCATCACTTCCTAAAGGGGGACAGGGGGTGGCCATTTCTCCACATCCAGACTGGACCCTGGAAGGAAAAAATAGCTTATGTCTCCCTTCTTCTTGGTGTGAACTACTTGAACTTGGTCCTGAAGCTGCTATTTCAAGATGAGATTTTCCAGTTGACCCTGATGGAACAGAACCTGAAATATTTTGTGCAGCTGAAAGAGTCCCTGGCAAAAGGGCCTGTGATGTGCCTTCTGCCATGGCTTTGCTGCCTGGGGAGCTTTGTGCTCGAGTCTCCCCTGCAGCCCAGCTGTGTTCTCGTGGCTCTGCACTGTGAATTCCTACCGTGGCTGCGGGGCCTGCCTTTGCCTCCAGAGATATACACATGGCAGCACTGTCCTGGTGGGAGAAAGGGCCTTTGGACCCACAGGCAGAAGGCTCTGGAGCATCTGAGAAAAGGCATCGTTCAGGATCTGCTGAGACTTGATCCTGGGAGGACAGTGGCAGAGTCTCCAGCAATCCAGCGTCAAGACCTTTGCTCTGGGGTGCGGTGTTGTTGTTAGCCACTGCCAAGCCTGTGTCAGGTGGCGGGGGTGATCCTGACCCAGCGGCAGTGTTGTGAGGAGAACAGTCACCACGCTCACGGGCAGATGGAGAAACAGTCTGCTACAAAGAGTAAAGGAAAAGAAATGGGAGGGAAGGTTAATTGGTACAAAGAAAAGTGTGGCCAGAAGCGTGGTCTTCAATGATAGCAAGGCCTGAGGTCCTAATGATTCTTTACCAAGCATGAACTTCAATGCAGTGCCCTCAATAAGTTCCCATTAATCACTAATTGGTGCTTTAACTTGAATAAAGCTCCTTATTGGTACAAAATGGGTTACTGAGATTCTAGGTGTTTTTATCTGGCTTTGTTAAAAACAAAACAGCTCCATTATCGAATTAGTTCTGAGTTCCATTATCGAACTAGTTCTGAGCTTCCTAAGTCACCGGTGCTAATGCAATGGATGTACTGTTTTATATACTGTGTATTGAAGTTTTTTTCCAGATTAGCAATTTTCAAAAATGTGGTCTGGATAAGTATTCTAGTGGTCTGCAACCTGCAGGCGGGCCCACAGTCTGCCTGGGGGGTGGTTCATGTTGCAGTGTGGTCAGGAGGCATCTCTACTCAGGTGTGAATTAATAACATATTCAGGATTTTTAATAAATCATCAGACATCATCCCAGTGGTTTCACAACCAAAGTTGTGAAAGTCGCCCATTTTTCAATGCAGCTATTTGTTTCTTTAACGGGGTTTTTGTGCTAGAAAGCGTCATGGGTGATCCAAGCAAGCTTTGCCGCACTAGACGTCAATAACACGAACAAGGCAAACTCTGAATCTAGACAGCAAATAGGTAGAGATAGCTCAAAACTGCAGTTCCCACCTTCACAGTTAATTTGTCTATTTCCCTGACAGTCCTTGAACTTGCGTTTGGAGAGAAGGGTCCTGAGATCTGTCTGCAGTCATCTTCCTTCTTCCCTTTGTTCTCACAACACAGGGACGATTCTGAAGTGGCACAAGGTGGCTCGTCTTGTGGATTTAGACCTGAAAGAGCAGAGGCATGTTTGTATACATGCGGAACGGTGAGATTAGCAGGGCAATTTCCCAGGAGGCTGTTCATGTCTCCACCACCACCTTCGAGCTCACTAACCTCATCCCACACCACGACCACCTCCGAGCTCACTAACCCTCATCCCAAACCACGACCACCTCCGAGCTCACTAACCTCATCCCACACCACGACCACCTCCGAGCTCACTAACCTCA